CAGCAGGTTGTAATTGACAGGCGGATGAATCACTTTCTAACTATGAGGTGGAGAGGGGAAGGGGGCAGAGGTAGAATCCACCCTGTCCCCAGTTAATGATGAATTCCAGGAAGGAACCTCTAATCCTCCAGCAGCGATTATTGCTCACTCTGCAGGCCTCCGCTGGGAGCTTATTGATGAGCAATCTTTTCCCAATCAGAGAAGTCTCCCTCGCTTCTTCACCTCACCAAACACCATTAGGACGGGTGAGTCTTCTGTCATGTGTGTCGGATGAGGCTTGATCTCAAACCAGAGCCAAGCGTGTTCTCTTGCTTGACCCGTGGAGTGAGTCATTTTCACCTGATGCCTGTTTCTCTCTGAGTTTACTTGGTAAAGAGCTTACCTGAAGCAGGGAGGCATTCACAAAGGATGTGGAGTGTGCTGACCGTGTTCTTGAGCCCACAGGGCAGCCAGGGTCAAGTGCAGCTGGCCGGCTGGCCGTGTGCTAGCTCTTTCCCCCCCACCAAGACCTGGCAGAGCAGAGTCAGTGTTGGAAAGGAAAGAAAAGGAAGAGAGGCCCTTTGTAAAGGCCATTTGTTCTTCTCAGCGTGACACTCTTCCACCGCTGATGCCGCCTTTCAAGCAAACCGTAATAATTTACCTTTGAAAAAAACCCCAGGTTACCTGAAATGTGCGCTTACATTTTGGAGGCTCTAAATATTTATGTTTTGTCAAAATGAAGTAAGATACTGAAAGAAAGGCTTCAAGATGGCTGTGAAAAACAGCCATCCTTTCCAGACACACTAATCACTTGTGGATTGCTGGTCCACTTTGCAAAAAAAAAAAAAAAAGACCCAACTCATTAAACCACTCCACTCCCCTGGGAAGAAGCCAGCACAGCCTGTAGCCAGCGGTTCTTTGCACACAGTAGTGGGTATTGCTGCTGCTTAAAGGAAGCTTGGAGAGCCAGCTGTGCTACATCTGGGCGCTGAGGCTGCATCCTCACACATAGCTCAGAATACAACAGGAACATCTTTGCAGCATTTCAGAGCACAGAAGGTCTTCTCATGGCCAGAGGCAGGTCCCTTGGCTAGCTGGCAGAACCCCCTTCAACGCCCACCCACCAAGCCCTATTGCTGTCAGACTGCTTGGAGCTGAGGTTCATGGATGAAAGGCTGCTCCTGTTTACATAGGGCATACCATCTGGGAAGCAGGAAGCACACTGATCTGGTGGTGGTGGTGGTGGTGCTGCTGCTGCTGCTGCTGCTCCTGCTGCTCCTGCTGCTCCTGGTGCTCCTCCTGGTGCTCCTCCTCCTCCTCCTCCTCCACCTCTTCCTCTTCATCTTCTTCCTCTTCTGCAATGTGGCATGTGAATTACGTACAGGTACATCCCAAACCAGCTGAGCAAGCTCCAAGCAGAAAAAGCCATCTTAGTTTTCAGCCCTCTCAGAGGCTGAGCAGCTGTATCCCAGGCTCTGTCTCAGCCACTGTGGATTAGCTCACCCCATCCCAACCCCTCTCCCTTGGTGATTCCTACTGGAAAGGTCCTGAGGCTAACTGCATACCTCTCCAGCCTCTCTCACATCTAGAGGGGTATAAGACCTACTTCTCACCAAGAACACTGAGGCAAACATCTACAAGGAAATTACAGGGAAAAGGGCTGTGTTCTGAGTAAGAGGAACAGCCTTCTTAGTCCTTGTTCCTTTAGGTCACCTCTACCTGAGGTCATGGCAGTGGCTGTAACAACAATCTTGGAACCATGAGGGAAAAGCCAGGAGAAAAGCCTGAAGATCCTCATGGAGCCCTAGATCCAGCACCGTCACCCGGATACATGCTTCTTCTAGGTTTTCTGCCCTGAAAGAAACCAAACATCCTCCATTTGTGTCAGGCACCAAGGTTAGCCCTCCATGACTTGAAGTCAAGTGTGCCTCTAGCTCCCTGGGAGGTAGTCAGTAAACAGGGGAGAAAGTCCTGGGTGCCCAATACTGACAGGTGTGCTGGGAGCTGTCCTGACTGGGGAAAAATGGAAATAGCTTTAATCTGGAAACTTTAAAGGAAGGGGCTGACAAAAACCAGTGACTTAAAGTTCACTGTTGCTAAGATTAAAAAAAAAAAAAAAAAAAAAAAAAAAACAGCTGATAGGCAGTGCTTGGGTACAAGCCAGGAAACGTGGACAGCAGGGCCTAGGCTATGCACAAGCCTCAGGTGCTATTGATTAATCCCACAATGTAGCCGCTTCAAACAACGTGTAATACATTTATTCATTTACTGTCATGGCTTTGTAGTCCCACAGTGTCTATGGGTCAGATGTCCAGATACAGCTGACTACATCTTTTGACTCAGAGTATCTTAATTAGGGTTACTATTATTGTGATGAAACACCGTGACCAAAGCAAGTTAGGGAGGAAAGGGTTATTTGGCTTGCACTTCCATATTGCTGTTCACTATCAAAGGAAATCAAGACAGGAACTCACACAGGGCAGGAACCTGGAGGCAGGAGCTGATGCAGAGGCCATGGAGGGGTGCTGTTTACTGGCTTGTTCTCATGACTTGTTCAGCCTGCTTTTGTTGAGTTCAGGGTGGAAGCAGAGAAAACTCACTTCAGACACAGAAGCTTAGGCTGTCTGGAGACTGTTCTACCTGGGTATCCATCCCATGCGCAGTCACTAAAGGCAGACACTGATGTGGATGCCAGGAAGTGCATGCTGATAGGAGCCTGATATAGCTGTCTCCTTAGAGGTCTGCAAGAGCCTGATATATACAGAGGCAGATGCTCACAGCTAACCGTGGAACTGATCAAGGGGTTCCCAATGGGAGAGTTAGAGAAAAGACTGAAGGAGCTTAAAGGGTTTGCGGCACCATGAGGAGAGCAATAATATCAACCAACCAGAGCTCCCAGAGTCTAAACCACCAGTCTGGGAGCACATAGGGAGGGACCCATGGCTCCAACTATATAGGTCGGGGAGGATGGCCTTGTGGGGCATAGATGGGAGAGAAAGTCCTTGGTCCCATGAACGCTGGATGACCCAGTGTGGGGGAATTCGAGGGTGGGGAGGTAGGAGTGGGTGGGCAAGTGGGTGGGGGGCACATCCTCATAAAAGCAGGAGGAGGGGGGATGGGATAGGGGGTTTCTGGGTGTGGGGGGGGATGGGGAAAGAGGATAACGTATGAAATGTAATAAAATATCCAGGGTTTTGTTTTTTTTTAAAGAAAACTATGAAAAAAAAATGAAAGCTTTATTTTTGAGCGCTCAAAAACGTGGTCAGCTCAGGAGATTGTACAGCATCTTTATAAGATGGAAACACAAAGCTGGAGGGAATGCATTGACCAGTCATATTTTGTCACAAGGGGTTAATCAAGGAAGTTAAAGTTGGTGACTGGGTCTTATCCAGGTCACCTGGTTTCTGGGTCCTTAGTCAGCTTCTGCAGCCAGGTTCCCTCTGGACGATAAGGGAGCAAAGGACTGGGCAGGCTGCACACAGTCAATTAAGTCAAGACAGGCAGTGTTTATGACTTGTGTGTCTTAGTTTAGATAACGGGATAACAGCATCTTCCCTGTGTACATCCTGTACAGGTGAACAGATACACATGAAACATCTGAAGGACAGGGTCCCCGTGCCTGGGAACATGAACTCAGTTTTGACCTTGCCAACAAGATGTAACTTGTTCCTGAGATGCTTGGACTCAGGAAACTGTCTCTTAACACTTTCTTATAGAACCCAGGATCACCTGCCCACACACATACATAGTTGTTACTGACACTGTTTCTTGTGCTGTTGGTGACCATAGCTCTCCCTCAGTCCCTGGCCCAGTCAGCCCTTCTGAGAAGCTCCCAACATGCAGTTGACTTCATCTGAGAGCAAACAAGAAAGCAAGAGAGGTGAACAAGAAGGAGGCTGGAGTCCTTTTGTAACATTATCTCAGAGTCGGCATCCCACCCATTAGCTGTATTCTGTTAGAAGCTAGCTACTTGCTCCAGCCCATACTCAAGGGGAGAGGATTACAAACGATGACCAGGAACAAAGATTGGGAACCCTCTAAAAGCTGCCTGCCACAGGTCCCTGGCTGGCTTCTTTCTCTTCTTCCTTATGGTGAGGAAGGGAGAAACTGAGGCTTAGCAAGGAGCTTTAGTTTGTCTTTGGTCTCACAGACCCTGAGAGGTCCAACCAGGAGTCAACACCAGGTCTGACTTGAGTGGTGCTTCCCTACTACCTCCAGGGCAGCATAGCCAGAGTCAAGAGAGCTGCCAGCAGCTAAACCACAGCCAGGATGATTCTTCTCTCCTTTAACCACACCTCAGTGCTGCTAGTCACAGAGTAGGGAGGCTAGAGGCTGGGCTGGGCCTTTCAGAGTCCTTTCGTCCCAGGTAAAGTGTAGTGGGTGTAGTCATGCTGACGTGATTGCATGTCTACAGGCTCCTCACAAACACTTTAGGGGGGAAACTTAGTTGTGAAGGTTTGTGTATGCAGAGGAGAAGGAATGTTCAAATTTGTGGCAAAAATTTTACTATTTGGGCAATATAGGTAAAGAATATGCCATAATTATTTATTCAGAAGGGTTTTGTAACTGTTTTATAAGTCTAAAATTATTTCAAAGTTAAAAAGTTTTCAAAAGTGCCACCCTGAAATCTCTCACAGATGACATAGTGGCAGTCATGCAGACTCCTTTGGACCCTGAGGTAATGAAAGAGAATCCAGGGAGGAAGTCAGGAAGTGCAAATACAGAATCTGAGTTTGGGGTGCCTAGATTCCAGACCTGGCCCAGGAGCTTGTAAGGTCTCTGAGCCACACAGTATGCATTCGCTCCTGACAGAAGGGTTTGAAGGAAAGGTTTATGTCGAAGTGTGGTGTGTAGTACTAGACACAGACCCTGGACTATGGCAAGCTCTCCATAAACGTTGCTGTCATTGCCTTCTTGGTATATCTTGTAGTGACAGGACATGGCTGTGTGTGGTGTAGACTCTCATTTAGACAGTTGACTCCATGCTAACTTCCTGACATGAGTTTTTGTCCCTATAAAAGCAGGGTGGCCACTGTGGGTGTGGATGTGTGTGACAGCATGAAGAACCGAATTCCTGTGGTGCTTCTGGCCTGTGGTTCTTTCAACCCCATCACGAATATGCACCTGCGCTTGTTTGAGGTAGCCAGAGACCACCTACACCAAACAGGTCAGTCGGAAACTCAAGTGCTGCAGACCTGATGGGTTGGAGCTTTGTTTGATGGTGTCATTGTTACTGTGAGTAAGACTGCTTGGTCAAGTCATCCTCCCCTTAAGTTGTAGGATGCATCTCCTCCAACCTGGGTAGAGGGCTCGTGCCCCTTAGCTGTATGGCATATGCAAGTCCATCCCTTGGCACAGAGTTGATGTGTCTCAGAGTCCCTCTTCCTTGCTCACCTAGCATTGTCTGTGACTGTGATGTCATGGGGAAGGGGTAGTTTAGGGAAGCTGTCCTGCCCAGGGTCTCTAGGATGCTCCCCACATTTACCCACACAGCAGGGAATAAGTAACACATGCCTTTGAAATGCCCTGCTGCCTGCAGCAAGTAAACAAATGTTCAATAATGGGAATTGACATTTTTCTGTCTGAAGAATAGGATTTTCCCTGTAACAAACTGTTTTATGTATTCATAAATATATTTTATGTCTGCGTCATGTTTTCATAAATGTGTTTTGTATTACTGTATCGGCCAAAATTTTTGCCTTTAGAAGCATTTTTATACCAGAATCAATTCCTATTTATTTTTAATATTAAAAAAGTATTTGAGCAACATGTCAATCATTCACAGAAATCATACACAAATGTTGCCTTATTTTTATAGAACATGACTTTGTTTACAAAACATACTTTTATTACTGTACAAATGATCTGAATGTCTATTCATAGTAAATAAATGGTTTTTATAAGGGAATTTTTTTTGAAATACAAGCAATGCAGTTATAATTGCTCATTGGACATTAGTAGGTAATATACCAAAAAAACTGTAAATGCTCAATAAACTTGAGGATAGATACTCCAGATCACTAGGAAACAATGCAGATGCAAATAGAAACACCAGAACACGGCCAGGTTACATATATCATGGGGGCAGCAACTGTAGCTGCAGCAGAGCCAGAGGATTGCCAGCACCTGTCACTGGGCTCTTAGCTGCCTCCCAGTAAGCATCAGTTGCAGGGCTCAGTAGTCTGCCTTTGAGGCTGGCAAGAGTTAAAGGCTGGCAAGGCCCAGTGCTAGCAGGTTAGGGAGGAAACCAACCCTTGTGTTCTGGTAGTGATCCTATCACCCATAAAAGAGAAGTTTGGTATTCTGTTCCCAAAAAGTATAGGACCAACATCCATAATCAGAGAAGCTGATAAACCATTCATTGAGACTTAACCAGAACCAGCTCAAGCAGATGTTAGAATTAACAGAGATGATGGTAATCAACGGTTATGTGCCGTATGCTCAGGGTTTAAATAAAAGCATAGGAAACATTTGAAAGGCCCAAACCAAACTTCTCGGGTTGGAGAGAAATGTGTGAGGTGAAAACATGCCTGCTGATATTATACTTATATATGTATCTATGTATATATGTAGTATATATGACATTAGTATAGTAACATCAAACATCACAGAAAAGATAAGGGGGAGGGTGGATACAGGGGGGACCAACCTCCCAAAAAATATAGAGAGAGATAGCTCTGGCTATCCCCATGCCCACCCTTCTTGGCAGTTTTCCCCATCTCCCAGGGCCATTCAGCTTCCAATTCCGCACCATTGGAGGCAATAAATGGCTGCCTGAGTTAGTGTGGGAGCCTCACATACTTCTGCCTTGTTTTTATGTATAATGTTTTACTTGCCTGAAGTCTGCCATCATGTGAACACAGTGCATGCTCTCACAGAACCAGCCTGAGTACTCTGAGTCCTGTGTCCAAAGTGTGTGGTGTCTTCAGAAATAGGACTTACCTTCAGCCCCTGAGACCTAGGGCAACAGCAGCAGACTGTATTGTTTTTGGAGGAATCTCTTGGACTACCCAAAAGCTCAAAGGGATGCCTGTTATTCCGCCCTTCTTCCTCTTTCTTGTTTATTGACCTCCCTCCCCCTCTCCAATTAAAGTCCTCATGTCCATTTTCTCATTTCCCCTTCATACATAACCCCCAATTCTGCTCTCTAGGCTCCCCTTCTTATGCCCCCATCACTTTCCTGCTTTTTCAGGTTACTCCAGGTTATATGCTCATGACTAAAGATTTGGAGCTAGGCTTCACAAATAAGAGAGACCGTGTAGTTCTAAAACAGGAGTAACCATGATCTGTGTAGTAACTTCAAGCAGTGTTACATACCTGTCACTGGAATCTCAAAAGGAAAAATCACAGAGAGGAGGAAAAGTGTTTGTAGAAGGCAAGGCTGAAATGTGTCCAGATTTGATGGAAACAGCCCACAGGTCCAAGGAGCCCAGAAAAGCCAAGCTTAACATAACAGGCAGGAGGGAACAGCCCAAGGGGTGTGATCCTCAGATTTCTCAAAACCATGAGGAAGACAAAAATCTTAAAAGCAGCCACAAAAGAAGAAAACTAAGGATGGCAGCAGATGCCCTGTTACCGAATTTACTGGGAGAATTCAGTAAAATGATTTTCTTAAAGAAGAGAAACAAAGGCCCTTCAGTCCAACTCCGTATCCAGCAGAAATACCCTTCAATGATAAAACCAAAGTAAGGATATTTGCAGGGACACAGAAGCTGGGAGGACTCACCACCAGCAAACCTGCTCTTCAAAAATCGTGCTCCTAAATTCCCCTGGATAGGAGCGTGACAGCCAGGAATGGGGGTTTCCCTGAGGCACTGCAGAGAGTGAGCACATGGGACATATATAACAAAGATGGAAGCTTTCAACATTTAAATGTCTTTAAAAGGAGGTTGACAGGTTAAGTGAAAATTCAATATTGTTGGGTCCTAGTCTGCAGAAGTAACCTCAGGACAGCATTAATACGATGGTTTGGAGGGGCAAAATGCAAGTATTCTGCCTGTGAAACAACTCATGTTTACTCAAGATAGACTGTGGTATGTTAAAGATAAGTGTTTAAACCCCAGAATGTGTGTGTGTGTGCTCTCCCCCACTTTTTTGAGACAGACTGAATCACTGACCTGGAACGTGGCAAGCAGCCTGGCTACACTGACTAGCTGGTGAGCCCCAGGGTTTCACCTGTCTTTGCTACCCCAGTGCTATGATTGCAAGTCCACATAAAACTATGCAGTTTGAGTAGGTATGGCTCCCATAGACTTGTGTGTTTGAATGCTTGGCCCATAGGGAGTGGTGGTATCATTAGGAGATGTGGCCTTGTCGGAGGAAGTATGTAATTGTGGAAGCAGGCTTTAAGGACTTACATGTTCAAGCTACTCTCACTGTGATACACAGTCTCCTGCTGCGTGGGGATCAAGAAGTAGAACTCTCAGCTCCTACAGCACTATGCCTGCCTGCATGCCACCATAATTCTCACCATGGCAATAACGGACTAAACCTCTAGAACTGTATTATGAGGACTAAACTCTGGTCCTCATGCTTAAAGACAAGTACTTTGTAGCTTGAGCCATAGTTTTTGTCCTAAGCCCCAAGACATGTAGCTAATAAGTATACAAAGGAAATCACGGTACTAGGATATACTCAGTTAATTTAAACGAAGAGAGAGAGGACAGAGACAGTTGGGATGGACAGGAAACAAGTAAGAGGAGACACCAAAACCTGATGATGATATCTGTAATCAACTCAAATATAAACTGGTAGCATCTGATAAACTTTGGATTACCACATCCAGTAAAATAAGCAAGGCGTAGCTCTCTACAGTTGAGCTGCCCCCTTGTCTGCAGAGAGACGGGTTCCAAGACTCCCCCAGTGGATGCCAAAAGCCGAAGATCCCATCAGACTTTTGCGCTGCATTTCTTCCTACATATTTATAGTGAAGTTGAATTTATACATTAGGCAAAGGAAGATGTTAACAGCAGTAGCCAGTAAAATGGAATGACTCTATAACAGTACACTGTAATAAAAGTTATTTAAGATGTATGAGCTCTTTCTGGAGACTTTCATTTAATATTTTCATAGACTAGTTGACCATGGGCAACTGAAATGGTGGAGAGCAAAACTGCAAATAAGAAAGGATTATGTATAAAAAACACATCTTACATGTAAAAATATAGATATGTTCCGGGGAAAGGAATTGAAAATTATCCCACATGAACACCAATTAAAGAAAAACTGGAGTTGCTGTCATATCAGAGGATAGACATTTCAAAGGAAAGAATATTACCAGGGATAAGGAAGTCTTTCCATAATTACAATTTTAACCTCAGTTCCAAAATACTGAGACTCGGGGCCAGACAATATGCAGAGAGTGAAAGACCTTGTAAAACTCAGCTCTAAACGGACATCTCCATTAAATCAGGGAATCCTGCAGAAGCGGATGTGGAAAGAGTGTAGGAGCCAGAGGGGATGGAGAACACCAAGGAAACAAGGCCTTCTAATCTATAGGATCAATGTGGACTCACAGAAACTGAGGCAGCGTGGACAGGGCCTCTACGGATCTGCACCAGACTGGGTCCTAGAGCTGAAAGAAGTAGGCAAGTGCTCCATCCCTTACCCAAGCTGTCTCCAATTGATAACCACTTGTAACTGAAAAGTTGGTTTTCTTCAAGGAAGTCTCATTAGGGAAACAAACTACTCTTAAGAGTAGGCTGCATGCCCAGCTGTAGATGGCCAACAGAAAATGTACTCAGCTGCATCTTTGGAGGTTCTTTGTTTCATAATGGCATGTCAGAGCTTTTTATTTTTATTTTTAATCATGTATAATATATATTATACATGTGGTAGTTTGAATGAAACGGGCCCCATAGGCTCATAGGGACTGGCTCAATTAGGGACTGTGGCCTTGTTGGAGTAGGTGTGGCATTTTTGGAGAAAGTGTGTCACTGGTGGTGGCTTTGAAGGCTCAGAAGCTCAAGCCAGGCCCAGCATGTTACATTCTCTGCCTGATAATCCAGATATAGAACTCTCAGCTTCTTCTCTGGCACCACATCTGCCTGCGAACCACCATGTTTCCCTCCATGACAATAATGGACTAAACCTCTGAAACCGTAAGTCAGTCCAATTATATACTTTTGTTTGTAAGGGTTGCCTTGGTCATGGTGTCTTTTCACAGCA